AAAAGAGTACAAAAGGCAGAACCCTTATGAAAAACTATAAATACGACTTCCATAAGGAGAAACTGATGACAAAACAGGGTAGAATGCGCCAAAATCGCAAGACGCGCTAAAAAAATACGCGCTGAGTTTGCAAAAGAGACGCCTCCTGACGACTGACAAGGGCGGCAAACATCGTACTCTCCGTCCGGAATGTGCACTACACACAACGATTGACACATTCCCAAGAAAAAAAATCGAGCTTTAAGTGCTGTGAGGGTGCCCGTTTCTGGCATATGACCACCTTAAGACAGAGCAGCACAGCACGTCTACTTGGCGAGGGCCCGTAGCTGTGGAATTATTAGATACAAAACACTACCTACTTTCAATAGTTAGTAGCACTAATAGTAATAATTCTATTAGTTGGGCCCCTAGAAAAAAGAAGAGGGCAGGGAGTGCACCTTCGCAACAACGCCTGACATGTCCCAAAAAACAATTCTGCTAAGCATTCCCCAAAAAGGTAATATCATTCGCTCCAGATAGATGAGCGATTGGGGTGGCCAGTGCCGGCTGGGCATTACACAAGCCCAGATCAACGCAGCCTGAATAGCCAACAAGGATGAACGCTCACTGTTAGCGCACGGAACGCACTTATCCCGGTCTGCTTTCGCGTTCAGTACTTTAGTCACATTACTGAAAAATACGTGAGAGACTGGAATGACAATTTCTGGCTAATTAGTCGTCACTAACCAGCCATATTCGCTTCCAAATGGTGCACCATACGAAATCCGAGTCCGCGACCTTGACAACTAGAAGTCCAACGATCTAACCCATTGAGCCACGAGGAGAGGGCGCATCAACAAATACACAGGACATCAGCTAACCAAAAAAACCGGCCCGCGACTTACATGTAAAAGTTGGTACCCCAGGACCCAAAGGTCATAGGTTCGAATCTCAGCTGACATACACAAGGGGTTGGTATGACTGGTTAAAGGCGGCTAAGAAGGCAGAAATGGACATTGCAGCCAAAAATCAAATTGTCCATCTGCAGTCCTGCAATAAGAAAGCATTTAAGGATGTCGTTCCTGTGTAAAAAAGTTGCACCCTTCTCCGAGGTACTTATACTTGACAGGACTATGATCATGCCTGATCCAGCCGGACTCAACGACGTCACGGACGGCACCTCCCCACGCATGACGATTACCAGTAGTGGATCTGGAAAGCTCCTCCCAATTCTCTGCTCCGGCGACAGAGACCGAAAGTCCAAGAACCGTTTCCATGACTTGATTGGCGGTGTCAAGTCAAGTCTTGAGTTGTCCTCGTTACTCCAAGGTCACATGTATCGCACATACCAACCAGGAAATGAGGCTCCAAGAGCCATATTTTAACCGGCAATTGAACACATTTTGCCCTGATTCTTTGCTGACATGTGTTATCCACAATGGCTTCTGACGAGAGTCGTTTTAACGCGACAGAAACCGGTTACTTGCGCCAGGAACGTTCCCCAGGCTTCTGCTCGTTAGCAGCATGCCCAACAATAACCGATACTCTGCTTTGTCCACTTGAACCCTAACGAAAACTGGACCACTTTTACGCAATTTGCGCCTCGTGCGACGCCAGAATGCATTTATCGCGTTTTTTTGCTTACTGATCGTTGGGTCGACGGATTGCCAGGGCAGCGTTTGTAGACTTAGGACTACAGATGGGCGACGTATGTCTTGCATTCGTCAGCTACAAGAACACTAACCTTCATGCCACCCGACCGTCGATTTCGACGCTGCTCAAGGTGCGTCCGGCGGCAGGAGAGCGCAGGGACGGGGCCAGGCCAACAAATTACTTTTAATTGGTACAACTGGCTTTAGAGAACACATGTTTCTTTAACTTATAAAAATAACCTACTTTTACATTTTCAGTAACCACAATATTTCTTTTTCCGGTAAACTCCACCAATATAAGGTTGCATTTCCCTCGACTGGCATCAGAGACCTGAGCAACAGGAGTTTATGTTGATGGAGGTGACTCAAATTAGTACATTGAAAGAGATACAAGTTTTCCCAATTTAAATAATTTTTCATTACTTTCAACGCAATTAAATATCCATTTACACTCGCTAAGCAAGAATTGAATGTTTGACCACAAATTGGGTGGGAGGAAATATATATGTAGGCGGCCCTACAAGACGGTTTTGCCCTTTCATTTTCTCGACACTCCCGGCTACAGTGTCGTGTATCACACAAAATTGCTTCGAGGACACAAAGCAGAATTTATCAGCATATAAGACAGTCTGGGTTTCAAGGCGCGCTGTCACTTTTTGAGACAACTGAGGGCTATAAAGTAAACCTCATAGTCCAGGAAATACAGTGCTCTTGCGCGGCATCCGTCGCAATCTCTCCTTGGTCCCACCACCGGGTCTTGTGTCATGGCAAAGTCATAAAGACACGAGACGGAAGAGGGCGCGGATGGCTAGC